TGAAAACTGTCATACCCTAAGACTCAGTAATTCCATTCCTAGAAATGTTCCCTAGAGAAAACCTTTGCACATTTCCATGTAGATATGCACAAGAATGTTTGAAGCATTGCAACTCTAATAACAAAATAATAGAAGCAACTTAAATATCCATTGATTTTAAAAATGGATTAAAAATTACAATGTATTCATATACTGGGATATTATGCAAAAGTAGAAATTAACGGATTACAGCTACATGTATCAACATGAATGAATCTCACAAACAAATTCGAACAACAGGCCGGTATGGTGGCTCCAGCCTGTAATCCCAGCACTTTGAGAGGCTGAGGCAGGCGGATCACTTGAGGTCAGGAGTTCAGGACTAGCCTGGCAAACATGGCAAAACTCCACCTCTACTGGAAATACAAAAATTAGCCCAGCCTGGTGGCATGCTTCGGTAGTCCCAGCTACTCAGGAGGCTGAGGCAGGAGTAGCACTTAAACTAGGGAGGCAGAGGTTGCATTGCGCCACCGCACTCCAGCCTGGGCAACAGAAGGAAATTCCATCTCAAATAATAAGTAAATAAGTAAATCTGAACAACAAAAAACAAGTTACAGAAGGAAAATGTCATATAATGTTATTTACATAAAGCTTACCGATATGCAAAACAAGGAAACGCCCAAAGAGATTATTAATTTGCTCTGATCACATGGCATGTAACAACAGAAGTGGAATTTGAATACAAATCTGTCTAAAATCAAATGTTATGCACTTGCCACGACACATTCATTGTCTTCACTGATTTTTCTTTGTGGAAGCAACCTTTCTCTTATCTAAGGCCTATGGCTCACTCCACCCCTTAACTCTAGAGATACACGCAAAAGCTATAGCTAACCAATCAGAAAATTCCATACTCTCAGGCACAGTAATAGATTCTAAGGAGAACAGGTGGCAGAGCTAGGTAAATGAAACATAACCCAGGGACTGTTACAAAATTGTTGAGAAAGACACCTATTTATGGGGTTTGTTTAAACAATAGAAGACAGTTAAATTAGGTGTTGCAAGTTGCTTTGGTGTCTAGAATGGAATTGTAATGCTTTTGGAATGTAAACCCAGACCACTGGTAGCCATTTTTCTTACCACTTAAGGAGAACCCACTAGAGAAGTAAACCACACAAAGTAAAAAAATAGACAACTGATTAAAAGAGATAGATCCCTAACAAGACCAGGGTAGACTTGGACTTTTCACTAAGTGAGCCATTAAATTTCCTTTTCATTAGTTCAGCTTCACGTAGGTTTCTGTCACTAGCAGCCACAAAGTGTCTTAATACATTAGTCTATTTTATTATATGCTTTCATATAACTGTTGTCTTTTCATCATATGTTTATGGGTAATTATTCATTTACTTAAATGTATTTTGATGACTATCTTTCTTTCCAAAAGTTAGATTGATTAAAGCAAGAATCATGTCTTGTTTTGCTCACCATAGTAGTGTCAGTATTGCCCAGAACAACCAGTAGGTGCCTATATATGTATATACATATATACACACACACACACACACACACACACACACACACACACACACATATATATATATATATATATATTTGAGATGGAGTCTCTCTCTGTTGCCCAGGGTGAAGTACAGTGGCCATGATCTCAGCTCACTGCAACCTGTACCTCCTGGGTTCAAGAGATTTTCATGCCCCAGCCTCCCAAGTAGCTGGGATTTCAGGAGCCTGCCACCACATCCAGCTAATTCTTGTATTTTTAGCAGAGACAGGGTTTCACCATATTGGCCAGGCTGGTCTTTAACTCCCATCCTCAAGTGATCCTCCCATCTCGGCCATCCAAAGTGCTGGGATTACAAACATGAGCCACAGTGCCCGACCCTATATATTTGTTGAATAAATAAAAAAGCAAGAAAACATAGAGCTCTCACTTCTTGTATTTATGGAAGAAGCTCAGTAGCAGAGTAAAGTCACACCAACTATCTATGGTAATCCACCTGGTCCATCATTCTTAAGCAGAAATTACCAACCAAGGGTCTCCAGATATTTGGAGAAAACATTTCAGATATTTGGAGAACAGGTTCTTGGCTCCAGGATGACCCACAGCCACCGAAATTCACGGATGCTCAAGTTTCTAATATAAAATGCCATAGTGTTTGCATATAACCACACACATCCTCTTATATACTTTAAGTCACCTCTAGATTACTTAGAATAACAAATAACAATGCCTACATGTCACTTCATTTATGTGGATTCAATGTAACACTCAGCATATTGCAAATCAAGTTTTGTTTTTTGGGACTTTGTGAAAATTTTTTTTCCCAAATACTTTCCATGCCCAGTTGGTTGAATCCATGAATGTGGAATCCACAGATACAGACTCCTGACTGTAGTGGGTGAAAAAAATCTATCAAAATGGAGAACTTGAAAACAAAGAAAAATTTTTGATAAAAGAAAAAAGAGACATGGAAGTTCATTTCAGAAGCTTCAAATCAACTAATATAAAATCCAGCAAGAGAGAATAGGTAAAATAAGGGTGAAAGATAATCAAATAAATATAGGAATAGAATATTGCAAGAGTAAAGAATGGCACAAATCCTGTTCAGAAGTACCCAGCACCATGCATTTAAAAAGATCCATATGTACACATATTGTGGAACTTAGGTACCGAAGAAAATGCTGCAAAGGAAGAAGTTTCAGACTGACACTGAAGTTTTTACCAGTAACACTAGATTTAGTCCCAGCCAGTTAGGAGGCTTGTATGGGAGGATCTCTTGAACCCAGGAGGTCTGGGCTGTGTGTGCTATGCTAATCAGATGTTCACACTAAGTTCAGCATGAATATAATGACCTCCAGGGAATGAAGGATCACTAGGTTGCCTAAGAAGGGGGGCACTGGTCCAGTCTGGAAACCAAGTGAGTCAAAACTCCCACGCTGATCACTAGTGGGATAGCATCTGGGAATGGTCACTGCACTCCAATCTGGGCAACAAAGCAAAATCCCATTGCTAAAAAAAAAAAAAAAACCAAACCAAAACAGGCAACCAAAAAACAACATTAGTTTTAGGAAGAAAACAAAGCAATGGTTTAAAATTCTGATGGGAAAACCATTTTGAATCTAAAATGCTACATCCTTTTAGAATATCAGCAAGTGTAATTGAAAACAATTTTTCACATGTGCAAAGGCTCAGAAACTTTACCAAGTACTTATCCTTTATGAAAAAAAGGATTTCAGACTTGCTTGGGGCCTGTAGCCCCTTGGTTCTGGACAATTTCTCCCATTTGGAATGGCTGTATTTATCTAATGCCTGTACCTCTACTGTATCTAGGAAGTAACTAATTTGCTTTTGATTTTACAGGCTCGTCGCTGGAAGAGACTTGCCTTGTCTTAAATGAGATACTGGACCATGAACTTTTGAGTTAATACTGAAATGAGTTTTGGAGAACTGTCAGGAAGGCATGATTGGTTTGGAAACGAGAGGACATGAGATTTGGGAGGGACCCAGGGCAGAATGATATGATTTGGCTTTGTTCCCACTTAAATCACATCTCGAATTCCCACAAGTTGTGAGAGGAACTTGGTGAGAGGTAACTGAATCATAGGGGAGATCTTTCCTGTGCTGTTATCGTGAATTAAGTCTCATGAGATCTAATGGTCTTGAAAAATGGGAGTCTCCCTGCAGGAGCTCTCCCTTTGCCTGCCACCATCCACGTGACATGGGACTTGCTCCTCCTTGCCTTCCACCATGATTGTGAGGCTTCCCCAGCCACGTGAAAATGTAAGTCCAATTAAACCCCTTTCTTTTGTAAATTGCCGGGTCTTGGATATGTCTTTATCAGCAGCATGAAAATGGACTAATGCATTTTCTATATATTCTTTATTCATTTATCACAATTTTTATCTTTTCAGGAATTTATGCTTTCCATCTATGTTATCAAATATATGGGCATAAAGATGATAATATTTCTTTAATATATATACTTATACATTTAACATTTATAGGGTCTGTAGTGACGACTCCTCTTTCATTCTCCTGGTTTTGGTTATTTGGACATTGTCTTCTTATTATTCATCCTGTGTAACTAGATGTGTATTAGTTTTGTTTATATTTACAAATAACTGCCTTTTGGGTTCTTTGATTTTCTCAACTGTTTGTTTTCTATTGCACTGATTTCCGTTTCTCCCATTATTATTTTCTTCCTTTTTTTAACTTTATTCTTCTTGCCTCTTAAAGTGAAAGCTGAGATCGTTGACTTTAAACATATCACCTTTTATAATATAATCACTTAAAACTATAAAATTTCCTCTAAGGCACTTGTCTTGTTTCATTTTATAAATTTTATTCGGTTTTGTTTTTTGTAACATTCAATTCAAGGTGTTTTATAGCTTTTCTTTTGATGTCATCTTTGGACCATGGGTCATTAGAAGAATGAGGCTCAATTGCCAAATATTTGGAGATTTTCCAGATGTTTTCTTGTTCTCTATATGGTTTAAATCCTCCCAAATTGTTGAGTATTTTTTTTATGATCTGGCATGTGACCTATCTTGAATGTCCCATGTGTACTTTAAAAAATGTGCATTATGTTGTTGCTAGAAGTAGAGTTTTATAAATATAAATTAGGTTAAGTTGGTTGATGGTGCTCCTAAAGTTTTCCATAGCCTTAGTAATTTTTTTGTTTTCTTGTTCTCAGTTACTGAAAGAAGATGGTATTGAGAGTCTAAGAGTAATCATGAATCCATCTATTTATTTTTCCAGTTCTGACAATTATTGCTTTGTTTATTTTTAGGTCTCTGTCAATTTTTTCATAAATTTACATTTTTACCATTAAGAAATTTATGTTACTATTCCTTGCACTGAGTGTACTTTGGTTTTAATATAGCCAACCCAGATATCCCTACACTTCATGTTTTCCTGCTACATTTTTTCCATTTTTTTTTAACTATCTGTGTCTTTACGTAATACAAACTAAGTCTAGAATAAATACTACTCTAATCGGCCCTAATATATCTTCTGTTGTTGTTGTTGTTGTTGTTGTTATTTAGTCTTTATTTGATAATCATAAACTCAACTCAACTCTGCAATCCAGCTAGGCATGGAAGGGAACAAGGAAGACATGGAACCCAAAGGGAACTGCAGCAAGCGCACAGAATTTAGGATACTGTGAGCAAATGGGGTGGAGGGGTGCTCTCCTGAGCTACAGAAGGAATGGTCTGGTGGTTAAGATAAAACACAAGTCAAACATACTAAAGTTGTCCACAGTCGGCAATGGTGATCTTCCTGCTGGTCTTGCCATTCCTGGACCCAAAGCGCTCCAAGGCCTCTGCAATTTTCAAGCCTTCTTTCACCTTGCCAAAGACCACATGCTTGCCATCCAACCACTCAGTGTTGACAGTACAGAAGAAAAACTGGGAACCGTTTGTGTTGGGTCCAGCATTTGCCATGGACAAGATGCCGGGACCTGCATGCTTTAGGATGAAGTTCTCATCATCAAATTTCTCCCCATAGATGGACTTGCCACCAGTGCCATTATGGCGCGTGAAGTCACCACCCTGACACATAAACCCTGGAATAATTCTGTGAAAGCAGGAAGCCGTATAACCAAATCCTTTCTCTCCAGTGCTCAGAGCACAAAAGTTTTCTGCTTTCTTTGGAACCTTGCCTGCAAACAGCTTAAAGAAGATGCAGCCCAAGGGCTCGCCATCGACGGCAACGTCGAAGAACATGGTGGGGTTGACCATGGCTGATACTACAAGGCTCCAGGCAGCGGTGGTGTTCACAAAGCCCGGCCCTAATATATCTTAAAGCAAGTCTCAAAAAAATCAAACTAGAGTTTAGATGCCAAGTAGCCTGTCAAAATAAAATTCAAATATTTTTTAAAGGAAGTCAACAACCAGGAACTCAAGCACCTAAAATGCCAAGTAAAAATTACCAGACATGCTAAGGATCAAGAAATGTGACCTCTAACTAGGAGAAAAGTCAGCCAATAAAAACAGACCCAGGAAATAATGGTAACAATGAAATTAATGTCTAAGGGCAAATTCAGGAAGTGATGCTGCCTGTACAAGCTGTGCTAGCCTCATCAGCCACGTTGTTTTATTTAGTCTTATCTCAGTATGGACCCTTCCCAAGAGTATTCATATGAATTATATAAATGCCCCATCTGGCTGTAGCAATGCCTTTCCAGAGCCCACAGCCTCACAGAGACATGTCTTTAACACACCAGTCAGTGGTCACCCAGGTATTCAACCAGATAGTTATGCTCTTAGTCACAGCTCAAGAGTCAGTAGAAATAAAACATATATGGTCCTTAGGAGTACCGTCTAGAGTAACAGTGGCTTTGAATTTAGGCCACTGTGCTGTTGCCCTTATGATAGTCAGTTTTCCAAATTTGCCTTGGATCTAGACAGCTGTTGTCATCCAAGAGAAGCCATTAGTTTTAAATTTCGCTCTGCCATCAGGAAACCTGTCATTCTTTGCCAAAGGCTGTAATGAGCATAGTTATTAGCAATAGAGATCTGTAGTTCAAAGAGATCCCACAGTTTAGACGCCTCCCAGAAGAGGGCTGCTGAAACAGCCAGTTGCACTGCCTCTATCTCTGCTTATTGCTGAGATCCCCAGTAAAATATGCTAGTATTTTCTGGTCACTTTATGGTTTTAAGTCCAATTAAACCTCTTTAAATTTCCCAGTCTTGGGTATGTCTTTATTAGCAGCATGAAAACAGACTAATACATTTTCTATGTATTCTTTATTCATTTTCACTCAAAATTTTTTCCTCCTATTTTCTCAAAATGCTTAAATGAGGTGCGCTGTAGATTGAATGTTTACATCCCCCCAAAATTTATATGTCTAAATTGAATCCCCAGTGATGGTATTCGGAGATTGGGCCTTTGGGAGATAATTAAGTAATGAGGGAAGATTCCCTCATGAGTGCGATTAATGTCCCTATAAAAGATGCAGAGAAATCCCTTGCCCCTTTCACCATATGAGAACACAGCAAAAAGACAGTCATCTGTGAACCAGGAAGAGCCCTCACCAGACATTGAATCTGCAAGTATCTTATATTTGGACTTCCCAGCCCCCAGAACTGTGAGAAATAAATGTTTGTTGTTTACAGTCTACGGTATTCTGTTATAACAGTTTTAATAGACTAAGACAAGATGATACTGTCTCCAACATTCAAATAATCAAATGAATTGCTAAGCTCCCTTTTTGGTAGTGAGGGCCAGAAGCTAACGCCCCCTTTACTGTCCCAGTTGCCAGGCTTTGAGCCTCATGACACATTGCTTCCAAGAAACTGGCTGTTCCCTGAATCTTATCAGAATTAACAAAACATCCTGGGCTTTCACGTGATTTAGGGCATACTCTAAATAAGTTGTTGTCACTTTTTTTTAATTGGGGTGTGTAGTGGTGTATTAGAGTTTTCTAGAGAGACAGAAATAATAGGATGCATGTATATATGAAAGGGAGTTTATTAAGGAGAATTGACTCAGAGTCACAAGGTAAAGTCCCATAATAGGCTGTCTGCAAGTTGAGGAGCAAGGATGCCAGTGGGGGATCAGTTCCAGTCCCCACACCTCAAAGTAGAGAGGCTGATAGTATAGTTTTCGGTCTGTGGCCAAAGGCCCAAGAACCCCTGGCAAACCACTGGTTTGGGTCCAGGAGCCCAAAAGTTGAAAAACTTGAAGTCTGATGTTCAAGGTCAGGAAGCACCTAGCATAGGAGAAAGATGACAGCTGGAAGATTCAGCCAGTCTTGTCCTTCCATGTTCTTCTGCCTGCTTTCTCCTAGCCATGCTGGCAACTGATGAGATGGTGTCCACCCAGACTGAGGGTAGGTCTTCTTCTCCCAGTCCACTGACTCAAATGATAATCTCCTTTGGCAGCACCCTCACAGACACACCCAGGAACAATACTTTGCATCATTCAATCCAACCGAGGTAGCAATCAATATTAACCATCCTAGGTGGGGAGACTCTAAGATAGTCTCCAATAATCACCACCTCCTGGTATTCCCAGGCTTATATGACCCTGCCCTTGAGTAACTTGCTTCTAACCAATAGAATACCTCAACATTCAGATGTCGATTTATAATTAGTTTACTTAAGAGTGTGATTTCTATCTTGCTAGCAATCTCTCTCCCTTGCTGGCTTCAAGAAGCAAGTTGCTCTGTGGAGAGGCCCTCCTGGCAAGGAACTGAGGATGCGGCCTTCAGCAAACAATCAGCAAGGAACTGAGGCCCTCAGTTCAAGAATCTCCAAGGAACAAAACCCTACCAACAATCACGTAAGCTTAGTAGCAGATCCTTTCCCAGACTTTACTGAAGCCCTCAGCCTTGGTGGATACCTTGATTGCAGTCGCATGAGAGACCCACCTAAGCCATGCCAGATTCCTGACACAAATCGTGAGGTAGTAAATGTGCTATTCTAAGCTTTTAAGTTATAGTAATTTGTTACCCAGAAATAGATAACTAATATAGGTCCTGTCTGCATAATGACATGCAGTGGACCTAAACTCCCTGAGGAAGAGAGGTTTGTTTCATGTTTCCTACCACCTATTGGTGAGTATGAAAATTCTCATACTCCTGTTGCAGTTCCGTAAAATGCAATGAAGGCCTAGCCAGGTAAACGCTACTGATTTTAATCCCTTTGTGCAGAAAGGATTTAAACGAAAAGGCATTTTCAATGTCCAAGATGACATTCCAGGTGCCAACAGTTTTGATACACAATGTCTGAAATAGCAGGAATATAACAACTGAATTCAGTAGCAATAATCTACCATCATGGAAACCTCCAGCTCCTATCAGCCTGTCCACCAGCCACATGGAACTACCGTAATGAATTGCATCTGTCAATACCCCTGCTGTCTTGAAGTCCTTAATTATGGCTCTGTGTTCCTTTTCTCCTCCTGTAATTATGTAACCAGTTGTTAGTTTTTTGGGTTTTCTTAATTAGAGTGTATAAAAGTTTGGCTATTTCATCATATTTGAAAATTCACAATTGGCAGAAACCAGCTATTCTTAAGAATCCCTGCAACTTTTTAAGGTGTTTGGATGGAAAGGCCAATATGGGTTGGAGATGTTCTTTTTTAAGGGCCAGAGTGCCCTTAGACAAGCCCTAGGTATTTTACCTCTTGCCTACAAGTCGGGCTTTGGATTGAAAATCTTATATCCGCAGGTGGCAAGAAAGTTCAGGAAGTCCTGGGTGGCCTGCTGACACTGGGTTTTCAAGTTTGCAATTAAAAGTAAGTCATTCATATATTGAAGAACCAGGGTACCTGGATGTGAAAAATTACGAATGTCCTGAGCTAGAGCCTGGCTAAACAAGTGGGGCTTCCTGGAAAACCCTGGGGTAACAGGGCTTTAATTTCCAGGATAGGAAATTAAAATGGAGAAGGCTGTACCAGATTCCAGGAGATTAACCTCCTGGCCCTCTATGGCTAGCTTTACCCAGGGCTCGGTGAGGGTGCTGGCTTGTGCTGGCACTTGCCCCAGGCACCCTCAGTCCTGCTGTTGGGTTATCTGGTTAGCCACCTCAGGCCCTGGAACCTTTGTCCCCTGGGACAGCGTGCCTTTTAATGATCCCCTTGGCACAGTGGGCAAGGACGAGGTGGTGGTCCATTTTTCTGGGGACAATTTCTTATAAAATGTCTCATTAGATCACAGTGGTAGCAAGTTTGCCAGACTGGCTGCTGACCTAAGCCTTTTTTTCTTCTGAGCCCCTTGGGTCTGCTTGCCTGAAGGCCAGGGCTGCAGCTTTTCTCTGGTTTCTCCTGGTTTTTTTCAGCTTGTTTCTCCTGGTCTCTATTATAAAACACCGAGGTTGCTAGATTTAGTACAATTCTAGGTTATGTTCAGGCCCAAGGGCCAGCTTCTGGAGCTTTCTCCTAATGTCTACTGCTGATTGCGTAATAAATTTGTCCTTTAGTATTAACTGTCTCTCAATGGAGTCTGGCAACAGGGGAGTATACTTCTTAAGGCCTCCCATAACTGCTCAAGGAAGGCCTGTAGAGGGCAGAGTTGGGGCGCCCCAGTAGCTTGAGGTGCCTGGATGGCTTTGGCCTTCCGATTCCTCTTGGGTTACAGGAGCTGAGGAGATTTGGTTAGCTTTGGTGGAGAGAGGAGCTACAGGGAGTTCTAAATGTGGGGGCAGTCCTGAGGAGGGGCTAGAAGATCCTTCTGGCATCTGGAAGTGCAACAATGTGATAAGGCGATGATTCATCCAGGTGAGTGAAATACATGTCAGAAATAGATCCGATAAAAATTCAGTGCTGCCTGTCTCGCTTAGTCTCTTTCAGCCACAAGGATGCTTGGTTTTAGCCTTTCTGTTTGACACTGCTTTGTATCGGCAACAGGAGACGTGTTGTTTTACCTTCTGTTTTAAATCTTAACCCCCTTTTCCTTTCTACGAATTAAGGATCTAAATATCTAAGATTGTTATCTCAAGAAATGAGTCAGTGAAAATGTGTTTGCATAAAATGACAATAGTAAAATCTGTTCTTAATGAGATGCATTGTTCTGGCAAGAGGTTAGACATTCTCCTGTATTTCCTCTACTAAACCTTTGCCGATAAAGTCAACATTGCCAATTCTAAGCCTGGTAGCAAGTACTTTCTAAAGTACTTCTAAAGTATATCTACAATAAGACTATTTGGGTTTCCATGTCATGCCTTCCATTGGCAAAGCATAGCTTGCATCTGCCTGCCCTGTGATCACTTAACCAACAGAATGCAATGGAAGTGACATATACCTAAGTGGCTCAAAGCGGTAAGCCGTCTGGCAGCTTTTAGTTTTGCAGTTTTGGGAAACCTGAGTGGCCATATAAAAAATCTAGCTTCTGTTGGAGAGACCACATGACTACA